GGCGCGACAGAGCCCCGCCCCCGTCGGGCGCTGCGGGGATCCGAGGGGGCGGGGCCAGCGGGTGTGGGCAGGGCAGAGTGCAGGGTGTAGCTGGGCAGGGGTCCCCAGGGAAGGGTGCTGTGCTGGGGCTCCTGCCCGGGCGCACTGCCCGCCCTGACCCCTCGTGTGCCCACAGGCGCCATGGACGGCGGGGGCGGCGCCATCGTGCACGTGGACTTCCCCGAGGTGGCGAGCGCCCTGCTGGAGAACCTGAACCAGCAGCGGGTGGAGGGGAAGCTGTGCGACATCTCCATCCATGTGCAGGGTCGCATCTTCCGTGCCCACCGGGCCGTGCTGGCCGCCTCCTCGCCCTACTTCCATGACCAGGTGCTGCTGAAGAACATGACGTCCGTGGTGCTGCCCAGCGTCATGGACCCTGGCGCCTTCGAGACGGTGCTCGGCGCAGCCTACACGGGCCGGCTCAGCATGGCGGCCGACGAGATCGTCAACTTCCTCACTGTGGGCAGCGTCCTGCAGATGTGGCACATCGTGGACAAGTGCACGGAGCTGCTCAAGGAGGGCCGGGCAGGCAGTGGGGGCGGCGTGGGACCATCCTCCTCCTTAGCCTCCTCCTCTTCCTCTTTCCGTGCCCACTCCAGCCGCACCAGTGAGAACCAGTCGCCCAGCAGCAGCAATTACTTCAGCCCCCGTGAAGCAGGTGAGGCGCCTGAGCACGGCGCCCCCAAGTACGCAGCCCGTGGTGGCAGCGCCGGGGCGCTGGAGCGCGAGGGCTCGGATGGCCCCGACGAGGAGGTCATCTTCCAGGCCGAGAAGGGCCCATCGCGCTGCCCTGAGCCCTTCTCTGGGGGCAGCAAATTCATCCTGGAGACGGACGATGATGTGAGCGACAGCGGCGGGGACGGGGGTGGCGGCGGGGGCCGGCGCCCGGCCTACGTGCAGCCCAGCATCATGCCGCAGAAGCAGTGGGTATACGTGAAGAAGGAACGTCTGCAGGAAGACTTGGTGCTGACGTGCGAGGAGGACGAGGACCCTGTGGACGTGGGGCCGGCCCGCGGCGAGCCCCCGCTCAGCATCAGCGACGTGCGCACGCTGACAGAGCCGCCTGGCTCCAAGCTGGAGGAGCAGGTCAACTTCTGCGAGTCCTCGGACGATTTCCCCTCGCCCTACGAGGGCCTGGAGGAGTCGCCAGGCGGGGCCGGCTTCACCCAGCGCTCCCTCCTGCCCCTGGACATGCAGGGCAACCAGATCCTGGTGTTCCCGCCCCAGGCGCCTGTGGAGCATGGGGCTGTGCAGCTGGCAGCTGGTGCTGGCGATGGCAACAAGATATTCATGTGCCATTGCGGCAAGGCCTTCTCGCACAAGAGCATGCGTGACCGGCACGTCAACATGCACCTCAACCTGCGCCCCTTTGACTGCCCCGTCTGCAACAAGAAGTTCAAGATGAAGCACCACCTCACCGAGCACATGAAGACACACACCGGCCTCAAGCCGTACGAGTGCGACGTCTGCGCCAAGAAGTTCATGTGGCGAGACAGCTTCATGCGCCACAAGGGCCACTGCGAGCGCCGCCACCGCCTGTCGGGGGGGGCTGCCAGCCTTCCTGGGGGCCCACCGGGGGTTACCCCCAAAAAAGAGCTCCCGACGGCTGGTGGGGCCGAGGGCGACTGGGGGGCCCTGCGGGAGGCGGCCTCTGGGCGGTCGCCCCGCAGTGAACTGGGCTTTGGTGCCAGCGGGGGCAAGATGTGAGGGGGCATCTGCCCCCCACACCCCGTGGCACCTCTCTGCCCCCCACATCCCAGATGCTGCCTACAGGGCTGGGGGCGCGGAGGAGCTGGGTACAGCTTTGACAACTGTACCCTGCAGGGAAGCCTCGGCTGGGGGGGGCTGGACAGCTAATGCCCCCACAACCTGCATCCCACTGCCAAGGAGGGGCCCGGACTCCGGGGTCCCTACGTCTCTTAATACTAACCCCGCCTGCTGCTCTCCATGGAGCAGGGGGAGGGAGGGGGGGCGGCTGAGTCCCCCTTCCCCACAACCCTGTGCCGGGGGCCGTGTCTGTCCGTCCCTGTCTGTCCGGCTGTCTGTGACGCGCTTCGGTTTTCTCGTGCGTGTGCGTGCGTGTGTGTGTCAACGACTGGTGCTGAGCTGGGAACCTGACGCCTCTCCCCCCTCCTGCTCCTCCACTGCCCGCCCCGTGGCTCCCCCCTGCACTGGTGCTGCCCCCTCCCGCCCCAGTTGCCCTGTACACGGTGCTGCTGCCCGTCTCCTGCTCACGGCACTGAGTGAGCCCCATGTCGGTACGATTCCCCCCGTCTCCGTAGCCCCCGAGGTGGGGCAGGCTGCAGACTGGGGGTGCTCCCTGCCCCTTCTCTGCCTCCTGGGAGTGTGGGCACTGTGGCTCCCCCCTGCACTGGTGCTGCCCCCTCCCGCCCCAGTTGCCCTGTACACGGTGCTGCTGCCCGTCTCCTGCTCACGGCACTGAGTGAGCCCCATGTCGGTACGATTCCCCCCGTCTCCGTAGCCCCCGAGGTGGGGCAGGCTGCAGACTGGGGGTGCTCCCTGCCCCTTCTCTGCCTCCTGGGAGTGTGGGCACTGAGTGGGGGCTGGGAACCGGTCCCCTCTTCAACCCCCTCGCCCCACCCCACCCCGCCCCACCCCCGCCTCGCGCATGCCTCATCCCCCCACGCCGGGCTCTCTCCCGTGCCCTGGGAGTGGGCTGGGCTTCCGGGGGCA